AGCAACAAAGGGTGGTTTAGAGCCTTGCTATCATCCCAGCTACTCCACCTCCAAAAAATATATATTTTTAGTAAAAATAGAATTTTCTATGTAAACTATTCTAAAAAACAATCTAAGTAAAAACACGGTGTTTGATAATGAAAATGCAGCTCCCAAATAAATCCTTCAGCCTTCTCTTCTAACTAGATTTCCATCCCTCACCCTTCCTATACGAAATCCTGGAGCTATCACTTTCAGAACTCTGCTATATTTTCACTTTCCTGTTTACTCCTCAGAAGAATGAGTCTTTGATGCTGGTGCAAGTTCTGACTTTACCCTATGGATCACTTTTTTTTTTTAATTCTTCAATTTAATGAATTTTGACCATGCTCCAGAGAGCCCACTTTATTCTGATTGTCAGCTCCCATGTATGAAGCCAAGCTGGGTTGAGCCAAGGAACCCTGGAGGTGAGAAACTGATAAATGGGAATGGATCTTTGGGGGAAGAGAATGACATACTCAAATATAATCCAAGGAGAGAGTCTAGTGACTGGAAATGGGCCTGGGACCAAGGAGTCCCCTGTAAACCAGGCTAAAAATCAGAGATGGATTTAGATTTGGACATTGGGGCTGGGTGGAGAGAAAGTTTCAGGAACCAGGCTGATTAGATTAGTATGGGTCGATTCAAGAAGACACCATTGAAAAGTGAAGTAGAGTTGTGTTTTCCAGAGAGTTATACCTGGCACAACCTGACAAGGGAATTGTGTCAGAGGTCTCTTTTGTCCACATTAATCCACTGGTGACTCACTGCAACCCTGCAACCCTGTTTCTTAGCGGAGGAGCAAAAAGTGTCCCCTGACACTGTTACACTTTAAGAGATAAGAGTTTTTCTTCAGGCCAGATTCACTATGGCCATTTGCCAATCTCGAGGCAGTTGTCAGATGCTGATAGGTGCATCAGCTAACCTTAGGAGCCACAAATTACCATCTTGCCTGCAAAGCTCCTTCACTCTGATAAAGTACACAACAGCTTTCAACCAGTTTGTAAATGCAATGTTTAGTTTCATAAACTTGTTTTCCTTGTTAAAGGACCTGTTAGCCTTATGTATTTTGTTTGCCATCGCTGGCTCCCATTCACCAAATGTATTTTGATGTTATGGAACCATCACCCTAGCGAAGTGGTTTAAATACGACTACAATGAAAACTGGTAGCTAAGTTAATTGCAAGTCAGTTTCCAATCTTTGAAATGACTCAAACAGGTAGAAGTGGGGAGACAATTGGCCTTGGTCAGGTTGTATTCTCACAGCCTTGTCATCTTCATTTTCTGAATTGCCTGTTTTGTCTCACTTCCTAGGAAATCATAATGAAATACTATCTGTGGACTTCAATTTTGGGGGTGGGGTGTGGTGGGAGGTGGTACTGAGTGGTAAATAGCTCACCCTTCTGCAGGCTGAAATTCCCCAAAGTGTTAGAAGTATTACATGTCATAAACCTGTAGACTATAAAATTTTGATGTGTTATGAGGTGTTTTAAATTAGAAAATTTCGACTGACAAAAATAAAATAGAAACTGCAGAGATCTGCCAAAGATTTTTTGTCTAATGGTATTTAAGAATTACAAAAGTTTCGGATAATTTTAAAGTATTCTTTCAAATTTTGGAGTCTTTTTTTTAATTCAGAAAATATTAAGGAATAAGAATATTTTTAAATATCTATGTAATTTAGCTAGTACTGAAAGTTTGGAGATTGAGTCCATCCAGAATCACCTCAGAAGAAAGGCCTGCTGATCTACTTCCAAAAACACTAGCTATTGAAGCCCCTATGGAACACAGTTCTACTCTGACACACATGGGGTTGCCATGAGTCAGAATCAATGGCAACTGGTTTGGTTTGGTTTTGGTCATCATAATCACCAACAAAACATTGAAATTAAACAAGAACCCTAGAAAGTAAAAACTAATCTTATTTTCAGCTATGTTATATAGATTTTCTCTGTATAATGAAAAGACACAGGTTTGATTAGTAAAGACGTGTCTGAATTTGAATTTAGAAATACAGATATATTGAATTTGATTTTATTTTAGAGGTTTAAAGGCTATGTTTCTAGGAAATAGCTACTTTGTCACTGTGAAGAAGTTATTATGTCTGAATATTCCTTTTAGATGTTTACTATCCGGAAGATTAACATGTACATACAGTGGTGGGAGTTTTTTTCCTCACATGCGATATTTCTAATGGAGATGTATGATTGTACCATTGTGTTGCCGATGTGAATATTTGTCTCAAGATTTAAGCCTGCAGTCTGGAAAGTGCTATAAATACTCTAAAAATAATACTATTGTGGGTATTTATGTATCATTTCTTTTAAGTATGTTTTTCATTTTTATTCTACATGTACTAGAAAAATGACTTACAATTTGCATAATTGTGGTAATTGAAAAAAGCTGTTGGGATGTGAAGCTTCTAAAATCAACAAGAAGGGCAAAAATGGATGCGATCATTGTTCACAGTGTACTTAGCTTGAAATACCTGGTTTTAATGTTATATTATCATTTCATATGTTTTAAGTGGTTTTAATTTTGTCACTAAAATGACACCTAATTAATACATTCACACAATGTATAAAAATATACTGAGTGCCACAAATTCTCCTGCAGCTATATTTATTTATAACAAAGTAAACTGCTAAATGTGTGCTTTTATGTGAAAAGCATTTTTGTAAATGTTTGCTATTTGCACTTTCTCTTCAAGGACAGTCATAATCTTGTACTACCATTCAGTATAAGAGATCATCAAAGCAATTAGTTTAGAAGTAATTCTTCATTTACCAAAGGCTTTAAACTATTTTTGAAAATTATGGGTAGGATTGCTAGTAGTTTATCTTAGGTTGGCATCTATAGAAGCAAAGCTGAAACAGGGATTGCTGTGACAGGTGATTTATTGGAGAAGGGGAGTGAGGGAAGTGGGAGAAAGGGCAAGGGGGAGATGGCTAAGCAAGGATGAGGTTTCAATGGAGACTGGCTGCATCTGATCCCATAGGGACGCTGTGAAGCACAGATGGTACCACAGAGTTGGACCCATCTTGAGGCAATTGGGCTGGGCTGGCATTCTGTTCCCCTATGTCCATCAGTCATTGGTTGTGCTTGGCCTTCGAAAGGGACCCCCTGGATAAGGCAGTTCCTATTTGACCCAAGACAATTTTCCAGAGAAGAGGAGAATCTGAGTTACTCGCCAAGACTAGCAGCATCTTGGTGAGGGGAACTCCAGCTAGTAAAGGTGATCTTGGTGGACACCAATGCATCCATTATATAGAGGAATGGTTTAATTTAAAAAAATGGAAAACTTGTTGGACCTATATTCTGTCACACACACTCACTCACAGAAACAGTTTAAAAGCATTAATGAGGACATGGACTTCAGGTCTCTTCTCGTTGCTTGCTGTGTAGTAATAGAGAATTTATGTGGCTAACTTTACTATTAAAACACCTTCATGCTGCCATGAATGGAAACACATTTCTTGAGAGAGGAGCTGATATATTGTCCATGAAGATATGAGGGCAATTTAAATGCCAAGTACACTCAGGCAAGCCTTTCTCCCTTGTTACTTCCCCTATTTGAAATGCTGTATTCACAGAAGTCTTGAACTGTCTGTAAATTCATAATTGATTCAGACAGAACCCAGATCCTTAGTGTATTCAGTGAATGAACTCATCTCAAATTCTTTCTCTGCAATTGATAATTAGGTCATACTCAAGAACTGTATTCTTCTTCCTGGTGGAACACCCCCATTGCTGTTTTTCTTCCCATTATAGAGCTGATAGAGAGGATTTTCTTTTCTCCTTTGAAAAAGACTTCCTCTCTTTAGCCACTTAACAGAGTAATGAAGTGCTTTATAGAAACTAGATAACCTTGCATGAGGACAGTGGAATTCCCATTAGTATCACTGATGCAGAAGGTGTTTTATTCTGTTTTCAATTGTCAAGTATTTTTCGGGGGCATAGAAGACATAGAAAAAAAAGTCTTTGAATTGCACAATTAATTTTAAAGTCAAAGATCACTGATAGAGTAGAAATAAACAATAGCAAATTTCCATCTTGAATCAAAGAGGTATTTGTTGCTAATATTATTCCCTCTGATTGCATCTGTATATGATTATTCTAATTTATTAAACAGGAATAATAATATGCAAATAAACTTAGGATACAAACAGAGCAGATTAATTCAGTTTAGAGTTCAAGCTGATATTGCAACCTTTTCACTCTGCTTAGGGCTTTGCTAATACTTTATATAGAACACAAACCAAGCCAGTTCTAAAGTGAAAAAAGGCCCTTTTAATGGCAGACATGTTGACAGAAGGCAACTTGAAGCGATCCTATTTACCAATGATTTCTTTAGTGATATGAAATGTGACATCACTTGTTATCCTTTTACTACCAATATCTAGTCTTACCCCCACAAACCAAGAAGTCAAGAGGATAATATAAAAGATAATTGTAGACTTGCCTTTAAAGTTAAACCTTAAATCAATGCCTTCCTCAGTCTTTATTTTCCTTTAGGTAGTTGTTCATTTAACTCTGTCTATATTTATATTTTCCTTCTGTCTGAACATGGGTACTTTGTTGAATAAGCAAAGTTCCTTTTTAATTTGTATGTTTAATAACTTAGTTTCCAATTTTTGTTTATTTGATCCATTGATCATGATTTTAAACATATCTGTGTAGGCAAGATAGAGTAATCTTAAAAATATTTTGTCTCATTGTCAAACTCATTCAGATTACGCCTGGATCTCATGGCAAGATCAAATAAAGGATTGAAAAAACCCAGAACCCATTGTACTAAACTTTAGAAACTTTCTGTACCAGACATCAAATTTGGCTAATGTATTAAAACATACACACAGGCATAACCCTCATGTTACATAGTTATTATCGCTTGCTAATAGTTTAAATTGCTTGAGCAGTTTGAACTCCCTTAGGCCCATCAACTACTTAATAATATGTTGTGGCATTATTATTCCTTCTAGAAACTTCCAGTTAAGTGAAGAAGACCACTGGATTTACCAGGCTATTTTGGATCAGTATCCTGGAGATCTCTTTGCCAGAAGGACTCTGTATCTGGACATGTTACGAAGATATTTTCCTCACAAATCTAGGCATGATCTGGTGAGTACTGGACCCTGCATACTGGCAAGTTAAATTGTTTTAGTGGTCCATATTGTAAAGCCACAAAACATATTTCTAAAATGGTACTCTAAAAATTATTTTTTCCTAGACTATTAAAAAAATAAAATTAAAGGTTGCAAGTCTGTGCAGGTCATTTTTCAAGTTTGTATGGTGCATATGAAGCAGGGGGCACCTCTGGCAACATTTACTACTCCTGTGCCTACTAGCCTCAGAGATCTTTACCATGACTCCCAAGGCCGCTTTCTAGTATTTGACCCTCAGATGCCCGCCCTCAGAGTTTCTGTCAGTGCTGGGCTTTGCCTGGAGGTAGAGTGCGCGTGCCTCCATCCACGGAGCCTGCCACCTTAGTCCTTCTAGTCCTGTGGAAGCTAATAATCTCCTTGGGGGCTGGATCTTACCTATACCCTCCCCACCACGACAATTCAGCTGGACCCTTCTAGATGGGTCTGAAACACAACAGCCCCAAATTCAGAGCTCAAAGGCGTGGCTGAAATTTCCCTGAAAGGTAAGGGAGGAATATTGTCTTGGTCTAGTTGACAAGACCACAAAGGCAAGAGCATAGTAGTTTCTATGTCAACAATTTTTAAATTATTCACCTTATTGCATAAATGAATCATACTTAAAAATATTATACTCTGAATTTTGGTAATTTTTAATTTTTAAATTAAACAAGTAACAATAATACTAACGTGTATAGAAGTTGACTGTGTGTCAATCATGTGTAAATTCCTATAATAGAAATAGCAGTGGATGAGAGTGGTACTCTTGTTATCCTTATTTTTCAGGTGAGGAAACTGAAACAAAGGCCACATAGCTAGTGTGACCATCCCTTCCCGTCCTCTCTTGTCCTCTCCCACCCACCACAACTCCTCCCATCCCCAAGTATTAGTTTTAAATCTGGCCTTTACTTTATAACAGATACCTTTAACATAATAAGCATGTTTCATAATAAATTTTTCACTCTGGATTTTAAAAAAATTGTTAATTTATCAAATTAGATCTTTTTTTCTTATTCCCTGTTGATTCTATTGAAAGAATTCTGTTACTAGCTGTCATTTTTAGCTTGGTAAATTTTTACATTTTCCTGCTATTAACTTGATAAAGATTTTTACATTTACTTCTTACACAGGCATACCTTGGAGATATTGCAAGTTTGGTTCCAGACCACTGCAATAAAGTGAATATCATAATAAAGCCAGTCAGACAAATTTTTTGGTTTCCCAGTGCATATAAAAGTTATGTTTACACTATACTGTAGTCTATTAAGTGTGCAATAGCATTATGTCTAAAAACAATGTACAAACCTTAATTAAAAAATACTTTATTGCTAAAAAATGCTAACCATCATTTGAGCCTTCAGCAACTCGTAATATTTTTGCTGGCTAGGTCTTGCCTCAATGTTGATGGCTGCTGAGTGATCAGGGTGGTTGTTGCTGAAGATGGGGTAGCTGTGGCAATTTCTTAAACTAAGACAATAATGAGTCTTGCCACATCGATTGACTCTTCCTTTCATGAAGGATTTCTCTGTAGCATGTGATGCTATTAAGACAGAATTTTACCCACAGTAGAACTTCTTTCAAAATTGGAGTCAATCCTCTCAAACCCTGCTGCTATTTTATCAACTAAGTTTATGTAATATTCTCAATCCTTCGTTGTCATTTCAACAAGTTCACAGCATCTTCACCAGGAGTAGATTTCATCTCAAGAAACCACTTTCTTTGCTCATTCATAAGAAGCAACTCCTCAGCCATTAAATATTTATCATGAGATTGCAGCAATTCAGTCACATCTTCAGCTCCACTTCTAATTCTAGTTCTCTTGCTTTTCTACCACATCTGCAGTTACTTCCTCCACTGAGGTCTTGAACCCCTCAAAGTCATCCATGAAGGTTGGAATCAACTTCTTCTAAACTCCTGTTAGTGTTGATATTTAGACCTCCTCCTATGAATCACAAATGTTGTTAATGGCATCCAGAATGGTGAATCCTTTCCAGAAGGTTTTCCAGAAGATTTTCAATTTACTATGCCCAGATCCATCAGAGGAATCGCTATCTATGGCGGTTATAGCTTTAAGAAATGCATTTCTTAAATAATAAGACTTGAAAGTTGAAATTACTCCTTGATCCATGGGCTGCAGAATGGATGTTGTGCTAGCAGGCATGAAAACAACATTAATCTCTTTGTACATTTCCATCAGAGCTCTTGGGTGACCAGGTGCATTGTCAATGAGCGGTAGTATTTTGAAAGAAATCTTTTTTTCTGAGCAGTAGTCCTCAACTACTGCTTAAAATATTGAGTAAACCATGTTGTAAATAGATGTGCTGTTATCCAGGCTTTGTTTTTCCATTTATAGAGCACAGGCAGAGTAGATTTAGCATAAGTGTTAAGGGCCCTAGGATTTTTGGAATAGTACGTGAGCATTGGCTTCAACTTAAAGTCACTAGCTGCATTAGCCCCTAACAAGAGAGTCAGCCTGTTCTTTGAAACTTTGAAGCCAGGCATTAGCTTCTCCTCTCTAGCTATGAAAGTCCTGGATGGCATCTTCTTCCAATATAAAGCTGTTTCATCTACCTTGAAAAGCTGTTGTTTAGTGTAGCCACCTTCATCAATTACCTTAGCCAGATCTTCTGAATAACTTGCTGCAGCTTCTACATCAGCACTTGCTTCACCTTGTACTTTGATGTATGGAGATGGCTTCTTTCCTTAAACCTCATGAACCAACCTCTGCTAGCTTCGGACTTTTCTTCTGCAGCTTCCTCACCTCTCTCAGCCTTTATAGAACTGAAGAGAGTTAAGGCCTTCTCTGGATTAGACTTTGGCTTAAGGGAATGTAGCTGGTTTGATCTTCTATCCAGACCATTAAAACTTTCTCCACATCAGCAATAAGACTGTTTTGCTTTCTTATCATTCATATGTTCACTGGAGTACAACTTTTAATTTCCTTCAAGAACTCTTCCTTTGTATTCACAGCTTGGCTAACTGCTTGGCGCAAGAGGCCTAGCTTTCAGCCTATCTCGGCTTTCGACATACCTTCCTCACTAAGCTTAATCATTTCTAGCTTTTGATTTAAAGTGAAAGATGTGCATCTCTTCCCTTTACTTGAACACTTAGAGGCCATTGTAGGGTTTTTAACTGGCCTAATTTCAATATTGTCGTGTCTCAGGAAATAGAGAGGCCCAAGGAGAGGGAGAGAGATGAAGGAACGGCCGGTTGGTGGAGCAGTCAGAACACACACAACATTTATTGGTTAAGTTACTGTCTTATATGTGCATGGTTCGTGGTACCCCAAAACAATTACAATAGTAACATCAAAGATCACTGATCACAGATCACCATAACTGTTATGATAATAAAGAAAAAGTTTGAAATATTACGAGAATTACCAAAATGTGACACAGAGACACGAAGTGAGCACATGCTTTTGGAAAAATGGCACTGATAGATTTGCTCGATGCAGGGTTGACACAAACCTTCAATTTGTAAAAACCACAATATCTGTGAAGCGCAATTAAATGAAATGCAATAGAACAAGGTGTGCCTATATTGGATTGATTATTAAGCATTTCAGCATCACGTATACCTTCTTTCTTAATGTTTGACAGATGCTAAGCATATTTTTGGCTTCTTTGGAACAAAGCTAAAAAGTTTACACATTTTAGCAATTGATATTTGGTTTAAATGAGGCCACAGTCTGCTTCACTGTGTACCTAATTAATCATACATAAAGCATTATTTTAGGTAGAAAGGACCTACCTTATCCTGCTTGCTAGCTGCTTGTCTCACACCACTTAGAGGCTAAATAATGTATCAAATTCTGAGGCTGGGTCTATACTGGCAAAATCAAAAATTATTTATATCAGTGACTCTCAACTTCCTGGGACACATTTTTATTAGAGGTGCCCTTCTGAATCATCTGCAGAGATTTTTCAAACTACTCAGTCTGTCACTGTTCTTGTTCTTCTGCCAACGCTCTGATACGTCCCCTGGTTGGGAATCACTGCCAAAAGGAGCTATTGCTACTGATGTGAAAGTGCCATGTCCCTCAGGAGTGGGAGGAGGAAAGCTAATGGTCATTGCTGTAATCACTTCAGGTATAAACATCTTAACATCTGAATGTTTCAGTAATTTATGACAAAGCTTATTTTTTCAGGATTATCGTCACAATTTTCTATTTATTAGCATGTTGTCTTAAATACTAAAACTGATTTAAACATGGGGTATCTTTTAAATTGCATATAGGGAAAATATTGCTCTCTGCTCATAGAATCATTCACCTTTGAGAAGTGAAGGTTGTTTTAGAGGCCACCAAGTTGACAAAGGACTGACAAAAGTTAAATGAATTGTCCCCAGTCTCCAATTAGTCACAGGCTCAGAACCCTGGAGCTGGCACCTGCTTCCTGTATTTACTATAAAGAAAATGTTTGTCCTCAATTTCTCAAAATCGTTGGTTATAATTTATTTGATTCATTTTGTAATAATGACTTCTAAAGTATAGGCTCACTTTCATAATGATAAATTTTTACTGTCTGTTATCTTTTCAGGTTGAACATGAGAAATATTGTGACCAATATCGCTTTGCTAGGGAGCAGCGAAAGATCTTAGTATCAAATTGGAATAAGAATAGGAAAGACTTTATACAGAAGGCTGTGATGACCCTTGCTGAGGCCTGTGCAACTCATGAAATGGAGAGTACATTGGCTAAAGACAGGAAAAAGCAACAGGAATTGTGTGCTGATCTGAAAGCCAAGGTAAGGTGCTTCCCAGAATGTGTTTCAGTATTTGCCTGATTGTTCATTTAAGAATCCACTTTTCCCTTTTTCCACAGACCCAACCTTCAGTTCAGTTTCTCTAAAAGGCCTATCTTAAATAAAAAATATGTTTGAACCATATGAAAATTACAGTTCTTTTAGGTCAAAAATAGTCAACAATCAACAACTGCATATGGATCAAACTAAAGCTACTAAAACAGCATGTTCATATTGAAGGTTTTGTTGAAATGTTCAACACCAACCATAGATGCTATACACCAAAGTGAGGTGCCGGACAAAACTGCAAAGGATAACTATAAAGTAAATGGCTGGTGCTAGTTCAAAGACTCTTGGGCCTCTCATTCAGATCAAAGATATAAAAGAAAGGGTCAAATTATGAAGACAAGAGAGGATTTTTGAAGACATCTGTTTGGGAGAGCTTGGTGAGCTGTATGGAAGCCCTCAACAAAGTGGGGGAGAGTAGATGGGGTTTGTCTCCTCCTCAGACCCAATGAGGGGGTCTCATGGATAGCTTGAAGAGCTTAGGGTGTAACCCCTGCAGTTGGGAGGATAGAGGACTGGTGTCTGAGCTGCCTCCGTGGTACAACTGAAAGCAAGAGTTGCTGCTGTGTTGGGAAACAACTGCACTCCTGGCCCTGTCACAGATGCATGGATCCTGGAGACCTGATGTGGGTATGGTCTCCCTAGGAGTGTTGGCAAGGGGCCACTCAATCGTACTGGGGTACAGCATACATACAGTAAAGTGCACAAATCTTGATTTCTCTATAATGATATAGTAGAAGGCTGACAACGAGAAGTGTTGATCCCTTGATAGAAAAAAATAGCCTGGCAAACGTTATTCTATAGTCATTAATAGCATATAAAAACAAATGTCTATGTTTTAAAGCATTAGAGGAAAAATGCCTATTTTGTATTTTTTTAAAAACAAAAAGATAAGTTTCTTTTGTCTTTTTAATTTTATTGTGATGAAAATATAAGTAACAAACATACAGCATCTCAGCAATTTCTACATGTACAATTCAATAGCATTGATTACATTCTTCAAGTTGTGCAACCATTCTCAATATCTTTTTCCAAATCATTCTACCACCATTAACATAAGTTCAATGCCCTGTAAGCAAAAACCTCCCTTTCCCTTTCCCTCCCACCCATGGGAACCGCTAGTAATCTTTGGTTTTTATGTATTTGCTTATCTCGTATAAGTCAGATCATACAATATTTGTCCTTTAATGACTGACTTATTTCACTCAGCCTTATGTTTTCAAGTTTCATTCATGTTGTGACATGCATCAGGACTTAATTTCTCTTTATGATTGAGTAGTATTCCATTGTGTATATACCACATTTTGTTTATCCATTTATCTATTAATGGACATTTGGGTTGTTTCTACACTTTAGCTCTGGTGAAAAGTGCAGCAATGAACATTGGTTTACAGGTTTCTGTCTGTATAATTGCCTTCACTTCTGTGTATGTACCTAGGATTGGGATTGTTGAGTCATGTGGTGGTTCTATTTTTACCTTTTTTGAGGAACTGTGAAACTGTTCTCCACAGTGGTTGTACCATTTCACATTCCTACCAGCAATGGATGAGGATTCCAGTTTCTCTACAACCTTGCCAACACCTGTTGTTTTCCGTTTTTTTTGATCATTGCCATTCTAATGGAGGTGAGGTGGTCTCTCATGGTCATTTTGTACCTGCTCTGCCTCAGGTAAGCCTTTGCTCACATTCCATCTCTCCTGGGAGACCTCAGTGTTTCCTTAAATTTCAGGCTAGTTTGTTGCCCTGTCATCTCTGCTCCCTAATGGGTTCAAGAAAAGTTCTGATGTTGTAGGTTGTTCAGCTATTTCTTGTGATTAGAGTAAGAGTGACAGTCTTTTCAGCTTTCTACATCCTAAATGGAAGCTGGAAGTTCCTAATGAAACACTACTTATCAATCATTTATGTTCCTTATTTAAGAAATCTTTGTCAGTGGCATGGGGTCATTTTCAAAGGCATCCTGCCCAAGATTCTTCTGCCCTACAGGGCCCCTGCCAGAAGGTGAGGGTACTCCCAAAACAGTGTGGTGGAATAACAAAAAATGGGGGCCTGGTGGTTGGAAGAGGAGTGATCAGTCAAAGGAAAACATGCATGGCCCACATCAGGTGAATTTTTGCCAGAATAGCCCAGCCAGCATTCAAGGCAAAAAAAACTGACAGGAGGGCAAGAGTCAGCATTAAATACATGTGGCTCCCTTAGGACAGCATCAGTCATCAGCCGAAGAAGAACTTTGCTGTCCTCTTCTTTACCTCTCCTCTTTTCCTTGCCCACCGTTGGACCCTGATGATCCAGGCATCCAGTGAATGAGAAGAACACTTTTGAGTAAAGAGGAAAGAGTCAATTAATCTCTTGGAACTGGACACTTTAATTTTTTAATTAAGGCTGTGTTTTGTGACTTAAAATGACCATGGAACTATCTGTCAACCAAAAAGTGAGCTGTGGATTCTGCTGAGTTTTCATCTAGTGACAGGAGAAACATCTGATTGGGAGACAAAGATAATGTAGTGCTTTGATTATTTCCTGCATACCATGCCATTCAATGTATCAGGCATACTCTACTGAGTGGCCAGCCTATATATCCCAGACAGTGTGAAAGATTATTTATATGTGTTTTCTGATATGTTATCCTCAATCACAAATCTAAGTTGAGATGTGTGGAGACTGCTGCAGAGTATTCACCCACTGAAATCAGGGTCTTGGTTCCATTAGGCAATATAATATGGAGTTTCCTTAGAAAAGCATGGTCACAAGATGGTGAACAAGTATCTCTGAACTCTTGGGGACGAAACCTCCAACGGGTATATGTGGGCAGAGAGTGGAGAAATTACAGTATAGATTGTGGTAAAGTGGATTCTATTTCCTATAGTGACAGTGCTGTCATTGGAGTTTGTGTTCCTGATCAAGGACTAAGGGTTAATAAATTATAAATGGGACAAAAATGTCATAAAAGAAAAGGGGTAAAACCTATAAATTCTATAAACCTTAAAAACCAAAACAAAAACGTTGCCTTCAAGTCAAATCCGACTCATAGCAACCCTGTAGGACAGAGTAGAACTGCCCCAGAGAGCTTCCAAGGCTGCCACATCTTTCTCCCACTGAGCAGCTGGTGGGTTCCAACGCCAGCCTTTCAGTTAACAGCTGAATGCTTAACTATTGCACCACTAGGGCTCCTTATAAGTTCTATAGTAACTTAAAATGCAAAATTATGCTCTTGATTTTTTTTAACATAGAAGGAAATTTGGAAATTTATCCCTACCCTTCATTTTACAAGGTTGAAAACTGAAGTCCTGAAAGATGAAGTGACTTGCCTAAGGTTCATACCAGCTCATTCGACTAGAAATTCAGCCCCACGCAGCTTCACTTACAAGAGTCCTGCAAAGTAAGAGAAGATATTTATTACTGTGGACCCCAGTGTGCTATAAAGCAGATCCACAGAATGTTAAAAATATTACTTCCTTGTGTCATAAATTTGACCTTTCTAAAGCTAATATGCTAGCTATAATAAACATTAATTAAACATTTAACCATACTTTTGTTCTTAGCCTTAGAATTTAAAAAAGAGCTTTTGGAGAATGATTTAGATGATTCGTATCTTTTAAGAAAAGTGTTAAAGGAGTTTTGAAATAATGTGCTCTCTTTTGGTTTTCTGTCAGTAACTGTTGCTGTAGCTAGCAGAGCCATTCAGGCAGGGCCAGAAGGTGAGAGGAAAGGTGGAATACAGAGCTCCCACCAAATCTGCTCTTTGATCTCCAGACTACCAGCTCCTCCCCATTATCCAGCCTAAACCATTCCATTAGTTATGAACATGATCCTATGGCATGGCTGGGGAACATCATTCCCAGATCCACCTCACAATTGGCTTTCTCTGTGCTAGGTGGCCAAGTGCTACTGGGGAAAACTCAACTTCAGCTGGGCTCTCAATGCCACGTGCGAAGCCTCTGTCTTTCCTCAGTTAACGTCCTCTCCCTGTTCCTCTTGTGGATGTTCCAGAGGGTCATCACTCTTCTCAAGACCCTTACCTAACACCATATACCCTCAACCCTACATTCCCAGAAGATAACCCATCTCCTACTTTATCAAGAATGTTAAGTCACTGAGGAGTGAAAACAACCTCTAATTCCTGCCTCTCTCATCCTATGTCTTTATCTTCTGTCAGTTTCACACTTCATCCAGATGCAGGGTGTGATGCCTTCTACATGTTCAAGTCCAGACTTTCCTTATATTTTGGATTCTGACCCATCTAGCTTTTTTAGAAACTTGGTTCCATCAAATATCCCCTTTTCTTATTTTCATCTCTCTTATTCTGTGGGGTGTTTCCTTCAGCCTATAAGCTTGGTGAAGTCTTTCCTACCCAAATGAAATCTTCTCCGGACTCTAAGTTATTCTCTAGCTATTGGACAGTCGCTATCTCTACCCTTTCACTTGAAATCAAAACGTCTGATCTCCCACTTTACCAAAATCCTCTCTCCAAGGTTACCAGTGATGCCTATGTTACCCAGTCCAGTGGCTGCTCTTCTATCCTGACCTGCTGGACCATTCTGCTTCATTTCTCACTGCTGACCACTCACTCATTGACTTTCTTCATTCTTCAGCTTCTGTAAGATTATTTACTTTGCAGTATCTTAAAGTGGTTCTTCTTAGTCTGCTTGTGTGTTTCTCATTGTCTGCCTACTCCTAAAACTCTGGTATTCTCCAGGTTTCTGTCCTTGCTCTCTGTTCTTCTCTCTCTACTTTATTGACCCCCAACCACCCTCATGGTTTTAGCTACGCTTTGATCTAATTACTTTCATATCTTTTTTTTCCCCCATCCCTGAACAATTCTCTCTTGAATTTCATATATCTACCTACATGCTGGTTATATCAGTTTTGAAGTCCATAGATGCCTCAAACTCAGTGTCCAAAATGGAAATCTTTATTTTCCTCTGGAAAATTTGCACTTCT